TATATTAAGTAACTGTTTCAAATTCAAAAGCAGTATTAATAGTTATTCACATTATTTTTAAATCGCTTGTTCAACGAAAAATATATTACATTTCTGAGATTGCAGTAAGCATTGCGCACAAACTTCCTTTATTTCAGAGAAATATGGCAGTTACAGTATGTATATTAAACATATTTTATCATTTCAGCTATTTTTTGATTCTTTATTCTTCAATAGAACATAATTATACAACAACAAAAAATAAATAGATAAAAACTATTATTCAATTAAAATAATGAACAGTAAATAACTTTAAAACTCTTCAGTAATATTAATAATTAAAGTCACATCATACAAAAAAATAAATAAATTAAAAAAACTATATATGCACTATCTTTTATATGTTCGCGTGCGTAATGTAAAAGAAAAGCAATGACATTGAAACAGGGAACATTTCTTTTAAAATCCCACGCGTCTGTCGTACGCCGACTAATGAGGGAGAGATGAGTCTTCTCTTTGCCACCTAGCCCTCAGCCTTAGTCGCTTGTGGCAATCCTGGTTTGTGCAATAGAGACTAGTAATCATTAGTATTAAACACAAAACGTCATTTTTCATGTTTTACCACAGAAATATAAAGGTGACATCAAAGGAGTTATAAAAAATGTATTAGAGGCTGTCTCTAAATAAATCTCCTTACAGTGTCCACTGCAGAAAGTGCTTGTTTGTTAGTAACATTGGGCGGTAAATCTTCGAGTCCCTCATCTTCTTCTGATAGTTCACAAGAAGCTTTCGTTTGAGCGATATCATTGTCATCCCACTGACCACACACTGTTACTGCATCATCTACATTTACAAAGTCATGAAATTCCATGTCATCAAGCTTCATGAGTCGGGTCAATCTGTTCCAATCACTTTCGGTGCAGTTTTCAGCAGAATTAACGATATTGATTGTTTGACAACTTTCATGATCTTTAATGAATCCAGACTTGAAGCCATTCATTATCATAGAGGAAGACACATCATTCCATGCAGTGGCGTACGCAAGGGAGGGGTTTAAACACCCCCTTGAGCTCAGACAAAATGGCAAAAATAAAAATTTTAGTAGAAATTATGTGAGCTACTATTTTTTAAAACTATATATTTTAATTAGCCTTATGCCTACTTTTTTTTTCATGGTATTTCTCAGAATACTGAAAAAACATTTACTATAATAGGGTGTTACTTTTGAAACCAAATTCACGCGATACTGTTACGGACTGGCTGTCATTCGCGAGGTCTTGACGCAATGATTCGGGAATCCTAGACGTTCTGTCGTCTTTGAGACAATTCAAGAATTTTGGAGATGCGGTGAAAAATTATATAAAAGGGGGAACGGGGTACAGTGAAGTTAGTTAGTCAGACTAAGAGTTATATCTGCCGCTTGTCGCTAAATCTGTTTTGTTTTGTCTTAACAATAAGTTCATTCAACTGCCGAACCCGTCGCCGCCACTATTTCGACTAGTGAAGAAATCAGTAACAATACCATTGGAGATACTGTGCTCGTTGAAGTTATTTATTCTAGCTCGAATCTTTGAGATAGTAGCATAGCGGATATTTCTGTACCAATATATATATATATATTTGCTGTTCTTGGATCTTTAGGATGTCAAAACGCAAGAATTTAACAATTTTTAATTATTTTGAGAAAAAAATCACGACCTGAAATTAGTGAGATGACAGCATCTAGTACCAATGTAAGTTTTTCTGTTGCACAGAAATGTGATACTTCCGTCGAAGAAAACGTTTCTAGCATAACAAAATCTGATGAATGTGACAGTGGCCTTCAAGGTGTTACTTTCACCCATAGGACACTGGACTTTTTTCAGAAGATATTACTCTTATATTTAAAAAATCAAATCAAAATTTAACTAAACAATGTTGTCTAAATAAAAAGTCAAAATTGTCTATTGGTCTAAATTAGGGAAATAATAGTGCTTTATTACAGATTCGAATTTCTTTTAGTAGTTTCAGAAAATTATGAACACCCCCCTTGAAAAAATTCTGCGTACGCCACTGATTCCATGCCTTGTCAGCCATTCTTAAATTGTTTTCTGGAATATTTTTTTTAATTTTAGAAAAAAAATCTACACTATTTATGGAAAAAAAAAATTGAGTTATCAGTGAGTGTATAGGAAATTTGAAGGGAACAGTGAGTGTATAGAAAATTTGAAGGGAATTTTTTCTCTTCGAGATATTGAAAAATTCGGGAAATCGAGTGTATATAAAAAACATACTAAAATTAGGCATACGAATAAATAAATTTTTGCTATTGAACAATATACAATAATTAAAGTGTCTTTATATGCTTTCTTTTATTTAACAGCAAATGCTAAAATTAGAAAACTATAATCAAACATGTAGAGGCATTTTTCTAGCTTTAAAATGTTATCTTATTAATATTATTAGGAATACCAAGAAAATTTATGGATACAATACTTTGGAACAGAAATAATTTGTGGGCAGTGTGAAGTTTGACAACTATTATCAGAAACATTTCAACTCTTCTGTTACAGAAAGTATAACCAAGTTTTCACATTCTTTAGTTGTGATTTTCGAGTTCTGTGTGCGGGATGACGCCATGAAGTGAGAAATCATAGCTTCAGCTTTGGGTAAGGATAAACCAGTCCCTTTTTATATTCTCTTTAGTTCTGCCTTGCAGTTTGTGTAAAAATAAGCCATCACTATCTTTATTTTATTTTTTCAGGAAAAGTTTCGTTTTCTGAACCACCTGTTTTAATGGAAAGTCTACTTCTGATTTATTTAGATACTGATAATTATTTAATAAATAATGATAATTATTGAACTTTCATTTTTAATTTCCTTCCTTCAATTAATTTTTCGTATGTTGATTAGTTACATATCATATAGTTCTACCCTTGCAACAATCTTACTTGGCCCAAGTTGGGCTCAAAATTAGCTCAATATGGGGCCAATAAGAACATGCACCAAGGGAGCAATATTGGCTAAATAATGAATATAAAATATCGGGTGAATCTGACAATTCTATATAGGACCAATATTTGAAAAATAATGGTGCTTTGAACCCTTATTGAGCCAAAAATTAAAGAATATTGGTCCTAGTTATTTTGCTGCTAGGGTAGTTGGCTAGTTATATTAACATAGGATTTTTTCTTTCAATAATTTGGATTAAATTTTTTAAAGATTAATATTAGATTAGATTTTTAACTAGAGTTGAAAATTCTTTAGGAAAAAGTATCCTTTTTTTCAAGACACTGAAAAGAACGGAAAGTATTTAAAGTTTAAAAATGACCAGTACAATTGTTTAACAATAAGTATACGGTTAAATTTAAACAGACAAAATTTAACACAGAACAAAGATGTTGAAAGTTTCAATCATATAAACACTGTTGAAAAAAAATAACTTTTTTATTTTACTTTTATACAAAATGTTAAGAACATTGATGTCTTATTTTTAAATGGATTATGTCGTATTTTCCTAAATAAATATAAACATGCACTCTTACAAATAGAAAAATGTGAACTTATTATTTTTAGTTTAATTTATTACAAAAAAAATTAATTCACTGTTTAAATAAAAACTACATACTAGAAAAACTAATTATTAACTATTTCAGAATAAATTAATTTCGATAACTAATACAAATATTTACTTAGAATTATTCTTAATTGGTTAAACTTTTATCGGTTTCTTTTTTGGGGGAAGAAGTAGAATAAGGAATATTTTTGTAATTTTAAAAAAGTTTTTAAAATGCATTTTTAAATTTAAAAAAATTTTCAGTTTAAAATGTAAAAAAAAAGCTTTCAAGTTGTTTCTTAAAAGCTTGAAATTTTTCTTTTATTTTGATAATAAGGGAGAATTACTTTGTGAAATACAAATATAATTGAAGGTCAAATTTTATTATTGCACAATATTACACATTTAGAAAAATTGTAACGGTGGTGAGTGCATTTTTGAAACTCAAAGCACCCTTTTCTGTGGGGAAGCACCCTTTCCTTTTTAATTCCTAGAATTTCATATATTCAACATGTTGTATTCAATATTTATGTTTAACTAATGTTTGTAAACAATTATATATAAAACCAATATTCATGCTCAACTACTATTTTCACTTGCCACTATTTACACAAAAAAATGTATAAAGAACCTTTTTTCGGATTAAAAGCATCAAAGGATGCATAAAAATTGACAGATTTTTAGCAAAAATATATTTATAAGAAATAAAGCTGTCATTATATTTAAATGACTCCTATAACATTCACATTACCATTAAAAGTCATTAAGAGATAAAACCATCAGAAATATTCACATAACACTTCATGTATGTTAGTATTATTCATAACACTACTTATTATCTAGATAAATCAAAATAAAAGACAGTTCACCATCGGTATAAAAAAGGGCAAGGTCACAGAAAAGAGCACTCACTTAAAACTGTTAAAATTTGTCAAATGAGTATGTAATAACTGAATTTAATCCTCAATAATTTTTAAATTGCCCTCTTATTCTATTTCATGTGTATATTTCAAAAAGTAATTCTCACCCATTATCAAATTAAAAGAACAATATATATAGTTTAATAGTTATATTTATAGTTAAATTATTAAAGGCATGCTAAAAGACAATCACTGTGCAAAATTTTTTTTCAAAAAGCAAACTAAAAAGTAATCACTGATAAACTTGAAAGCCTTTTTTTTTTTTAATAATTGAAACTGAAAATTATGACAATATATAGATTCTTTCTTTTAAAAAAAGAGGTACTTAAAATCACTAGTAAAATTCATTAATATACTCCCCCTTTGAAAAAAGAAACTAAATGGAATATGAATAAAAAAGGAGTGTTTTTAGGCAGCTTATTCTTACAAAAAGAGCAAAGAGGACACACATCAAAGGGCAGGCAGGGTGGGCCACCCTTCTAAAAAAGCTTAGGGACAACACCATGAAAGATAATGAGTCTTATAAAATTTCATTTCCAAAAATTCAATGAAATATTATTAATCACCTTGATCGTGAACTTCCAGGAGATGACTTCTTTGGTCGCTTAGAGCGGTTGTAGCTGGGAGAATGAACTTGACTTGGAGTTCTGCGCCTTCTCCACCTGTCTCTAGATGAGCTCCTACTCCGACTAGAACTGTACCTACCACCCATTAAACATACCAGCATTACTCAATTGGAAAATTAAAATAGATTAAAGCAAGGTATATTAATTCTATTACCACTTCTTTTTTTACAGCAGAAAATTTTAGTCAACAGTTCATAGATTCTATCCAGGATCCTTGCAATGCCATTTAAAGCAAATAAATATTTAAACACTTGATTATTACTCACCCTTATGCTTAGTTACAGTGATCTGTCACAATAAAAATAAATTGTCAAGCTAAAGTGTTTTACCCAGCACCTTTCCCTAAAAAAGTGGGAAAACTCAGATATATATGTTCACACTTTGCTAACCATATTCTTTAAAATAAGCTAAAACCTCTTTATATTAGAGACAAATTTGATTTGTCCCAATAAAATTAGCTTATTAAGAGCTGAGTCTACACTTTTCTTGGCTCAAAATTTCATAAATACTTTTTATAAAAATTTAGAAAAAAGCTAAATTATAAACCTATAATACAGCAAATTATTACTGCCTTATTTTTAATTAAATGAGTTAATTTCTATTTCATTTAAATGTATATCAGACCCAGGGCTAAAGAGAAGATTGAGAAGGACTGGTTCATTCCTTACTAAAAGACGAAGCTGCGATTACCAACCGCATGACGTCACGCTGCACACAGATCTCAAAAATCACAACTAAAGGATATGAAAACTTTGCTGTTTATACTTTCTGTAAGAAATGAGTTGAATGTTTGACACTTTTCTGATAATAGCTGTCAAACTTTACACTCTTAACAAATTATTTCGGTTCAAAAATATAGTATTCATACATTTTCTTATAGTATTAAAAAATAACATTTTAAAGTTAGAAAAATTTCTAAATGATTGTTCTCATCGTTTCATTATTATCTTCTAATTTAAGTTTTTAACTTTTGCTATTAAATAAAACAAAACATATAAATGCACTTTTATAAATATATATTGTTTGATAAGAATAGTTTTATTAATTGGGTTGTCTAATTTCAATATATTTATACATTATCACTAAGAAACAAGAACCTTAAATGCTAATTACTAAAAAAAATAATCTTTGAGAACATAATGGAAATATTACACATAAGTATTTAAAATTAAGGCATTATAATTAAAACACATAAATACTTTGAATAATGACATTAAAAAATACATTATGAAATTGGACAAATTTTTAATCAATATTAACTTTTATTTTTGAAGTTCAGGATCTTATTTTCTTTGACCTTGTACATTTTTTCTTCTTTTCTGTTTAAACTTAAGAGATGGTATCGATTTCAATGATTATAAAAGTTCTTAAACATCTAAATGAAAAACGTGCATTTTTATAAACAGAAATTCTTCTAATACATCTTATAATTGCATCTAATCTTTGCTGTCACCTTTATATTTTCTGAAGTAAAACATAAAAAATTAAGTCTTCTCATTTTATGTTTTATAATAATTTTTGCAGGTGATATTTCGGTGTTAAGTTCTTACAACCAGAGGAGAAGATAATTGCCCCAAAATAAAAAAATTTACGGAAAACAATGAATGTTTCTGAAATAAGTTTAAAAGAAGTTACATTTGAAACATTTAATTTTTAAAACGAAAAGTTTATGCTGCGCCGCTGTGACGTCACTGCCTGAAATCAGAATGGCAAGTCTCTTTAAAGAAGTGACCTAGCTCTTCTATTCATTCTTTAGCCCTGTATTAGACCCAGTAGTTTGCCTTCTTTAACCAGTTTAATAAGGGTGGGGTACCAAGAAATAAATGCCTCAGCTTAAGCATAATGCTCAGTTTTCTTATAACCCAGTGTAGAATTACAATCCCTTTTTAGAAGGAAAGATGTCTTGGACATTCACGGATAGTAACATTTAGGGCAGTAACAATTTTTTTTTTTTTTTTAAAAAAGGATATTTTTTATAAAAACACAGGACAAGTAAAAATATTATTGTAACATATTTTTTAACAAAATCATAACCATTTAACAATTTAAAATATTAAAATTTAATAGTATATTGTTTAGGGGTGGTTTTTTTCCCTCCCACCTACAATATAATCATAATGCTTGACACATTATGTACTGAAGCATCAGATGGCCCCTGTGCAATATTCACCATGAATATTCTGTTTACTGCCTATAGGCATTGCACTTTCCTCATCACATGCTTAACATTTAATGTTTAAAAAATATCTGACAATACAAACATGATAAAATATCTAAAGAATACAAACATTATTTAATTTCTTTGCTAGAAATATTTTAGAAGGAGTGAGAATTTGAAAATACATACCCCTTCTTACATAAAATGTGATAAAAGCCATTTTATAACGTACTTGTAGCTGATTGAGGAGGCTAACCTCAAGTATGATATGGTGGAAGATTAATAAAAAACATACACCACTATACCCCAGATTCAGAATCTGGATGAAATTGCTGCAGAGTTATCGCAGATAGACTTTTCATGTAAGGAATTTCTATCCTTTCTAAAAACATTTTTTAAGATGTTTTGTTTTCTATGGAATTACATATCAAAGATGCTTTTCTTGTGAATCAGAGGGTGAAAAAAGCACCTCATTTGAAAACTTAAGAAAAGAAAAATTCTCAAAAATAACCTATTTTTAATTGAATTAAACTTAACTGAATTGAATTTATTGAATTGAATTTAACTGAAAAAAAAATTTTTTTTTTAAATTTTTCCAGTAGAATTCTATTCATAGAACACTGAGCAACTCATAACAGTTTGAGATCAATACTTAGGAAATTTTAATTGTACTGTTCTTTTAAGAAAAATAATTCAGTTAATACACCTTCATACTAATAACTATTTATAATTAGCAATAGAGTACATTATTTCTTTATATGGCCTTATACAGGGGGGATTGTGAGTCCAACTCAAAAATCCGGAAAATTTCTTGAGTAAAATCATTAAAGACGCATAATGTCTTTATAAATTTAAATCATTGATATTTTCAAAACACTGAATTCTAAATAAATTATATACAGCATAATTTTAATGAATAATTATGTACAAGTTTATTTTTATCTTTTATCATATTTAGTATTCTACCAGAAAGAATATTTACAAATGAAAGATGCCAAGTATAAATTCTAGTTTTTTTTTTTGGGCACTACAGCCTATGCATGGCCAAGGTCGTCCCAATAAGTTTTTGCCATCTTGATCTATTCTGTGCCATGGTCTTGTTCTAATATCTCTAAATAAAATATTCTTGAATTTTTATACATAAATGTGATCGATGATTTCCGGAAACTTCCAGACCGCAGTTAGGGAAAAATCCAGATTTTTTCCTGAGCACAATTATCTCTGCTTATATATAATACAAAACATTGCCTTAAATATATTATAATCTGTAATGATTCAATGGACCCAAGAAAGAAAATTATTATATAATTTAAAACTAATATCATGAATTCTATACAGTTAAATAATGATATTAAATAAATAATACTGTATATTCATATTACAGAAAAACAGAGACATCACATTTTAACATGTACTTTGAATATAAAGTAGAATTAAAAGCAATTTAGAATCATAGGGTCAGGTGAGATAAAGTGGGTAGATGATAAAAAACATCTATACATTTAATACAAAACATCTACGAAGTTGAGATAATTAATTTTATTTTTTTTTAGACATTTACTGAGATTGTGGCAAGATTTACAGTTGTAAACTAACAAAAAAAAAAAAATTATTATCTTTACAAACTATCTGTTTACGATCAACTTATAATGTATGTTAGTTAAAGCTGTTTATGAACTTTCTTATAATTAAAAACAGTCAAAAACTATTAATTTTAGTTCAAACTGGTAGAGGGACATCTAAAAAACAGATCAACATAGAAATTTTTATAAATTTTAAAATTTTGTTTATTATAATTGTATTCTGAGGCGGGGTAAAGTGGGTGAGGCTTAACTTAGTGTTGTATGATAGGGATTTATTTTATCCTGTGCTAGTTTTGATAAGTATCTAATACTCCATATTTTATATTAATCAATGCAACTTAGCAAGCATATTTAAAGGTATAGATGACACAATTTTTTAATAAATATGGCAGTTTTTTCATGGAATACAATACAATTTACTTTAACTAAATTAAATAAAAAATTCATTTCTGCTATTAACAGTAAAAGCACTTTTAATTATCACTTTAGATATTAATCTATACTCTCATTTATGTTTCGAATAAATTTGCACATTTACTGTATTCAAAGTAAAACCTAATTTTGATAGCCGTGAAAATTAATGCTTTAAAAAAAATTATTATTTCTCAATATTTAATTTTTCTAAATATAATCAAAATATATTTATTTAAGAGTACTTTTATTTCAAAAACAATATTTACTAAGTTTTTTAATAAAATATATACTAATTTTAAAACTATACCTACTTTATCCTAAACAGGGTTATGTTTGTATATAAAAACATGTAAGAAAATTTTTAAAAAATTGATAATATGAGCCTCATATTTTATCGATATGAATCCAATGTAAATAAAATGCAGCAAAATTTTCAGTAAAATCAAATTAATGAAATGGTTTCAGAACCTTCTTTAAAAAAAGCTCTATTTTATACCCACTTTCTTCCACCTGACCCTATTTAAAGAAAAAAATTTATATGTTTTAATTTTCATTGAAAATATTAATCAATAGTAGTTAAATACTATGAAATACTTAAGAATGGTTCAGTAAATTTAAATTATTATTCATTTTCACCAAATAAAAAATCTCAGTTTAAACCAAAATAAAAATTAAAAAATTTTTTTTCAACCTTGTAAATATAATTGTAACACTATGGCAGGCTTGGCATGTTACAACAATCAAAGGTGATTGGATTGTGGCTTCATGATAAAAGCTGAAGCTTGGTGGGGGGGGGGATATGCAGAGGCATATTTATGGGGCAATCCATACAAAATTTACACCCATGATACAAAAATGATATGATTTTTTTTTATTTTTTATTGTTCTTTATTGAAAATAAATCAAAAATATTTTTGCTTTTGTTTCAATTGCATATTTTTGACTTTACGAATTTTTAAAAATTTTGCTTTTTTGAATGCACGACTTTACAAGTAATTTTTTAACATATTGCAATCAAACAACAAAAATATTTAAATACACTTTCTTGAGGTGATTATTTTTCTCAAATTTTAAGAAAACCAACCTTAAAATATAAAATTTTTTGTTTCTGCAATTTGGACACTTTTGATTTCTTTTATATTTCGATAGTGTGAATTATAATCAATAATGTTATTAATTCCAAATTTTTGGAATGGTAAGACACTTTGTTCAAAAGATATAAATAACATTATTGATTATAATTCACACTGTCGAAATATAAAAGAAATCAAAAATGTCCAAATTGCGAAAAAAAGAAATTGTTTTTTTTTTTTTTTTTTTCCTTTCAAAAAATTTTATATTTTAAGGTTGGTTTTCTTAAAATTTGAGAAAAATCATCTCAAGAAAGTGTATTTAAATATTTTTGTTGTTGGATTGCAATACTTTAAAAATTACTTGTAAAATCGTGCGCGCAAAAAAGCAAAATTTTCAAAAATTCGTATAGTCAAAAATATGCAATTTAAACAAAAACGCAAAAATATGTGTCTATTTATATCATTTTTGTATCATGGGTGTAAATTTTGTATGGATTGCCCCATATATATACACATTGATCATAGTGAATTTCTACTTTCAAACCATTTTAAGTTCCAATTTTGATTTTCAGAAATATATTTCCTTTTACTGACAAAATATAAATGAATAAAAATCAAAATTATAAGAATATTTATTTTTCATAGTATTATCATAATAAAGATTTAGACTTTCCTCAAGCAATAAAAAAAAAGTGGAAAAAAAAACTGAAAATGGGTACAAAAAAATTAGATAAAAATATATTAATTATCTGTACAAATATTGAATTTAAATGCAATAAATATGTTATGAATTATAAGTAGGCTAGATACAGAACTGAACTTCTTAATTATCTTTATTCACAGAATTACTGTTGAAAACAATTTAAAAATTAATTTCGATAATAAAAATGAACTAAATCAGTTGATGTTAAATATTAAAACGGTATAAAAAGTGATCATTGATACATACTTTTCAAATCGCCTAAATACAAATTCTAACCCTTGATTTTAATCGCTTAAAAAAAATCATGTGAGATTTTTAAATCACAGGAATAGGAATCTCAATATGAACTTAATAAACTATGTGAATAAGAATCGAAATCCTCAAACTTTAAATCCTGTGAAAATAAATACTATTGAACACTGAGAATTATCATACATACCCTTTACACAAATTAATTGTATGCAAACCTTTAGATCAGAGTGGTGTTAAGATATCACTAGTTAACAATTTTTTGTTGAGAATTAAAATGACAAAAACTTTTAATGTACACTAATCATTTAAAACAACCAACAAACAAGAAATTAATCATAGACAATATAAAAAGAAAATTAGGCTTACCTTTTCCTTCTTGAGCTTGATCTTGAACCAGAATACCGACCTCCACCTCCGCCTCTGTATCTCCTATCCTGTTCAGGGCAATCACGAGCCCAATGACCGTAACGATGACAGCGGTAACACTCTGCACTGGTCTACAATTTATAAAAAAGTTTAATAACTAAAAATAATAAATTTATATATAATTATGGAAATAATATGCATACAAAATACAATTACATAACATCAGATAAATACTCTAAGGGAAATAGAGATACAAACAGTCACATCATTAATTTAATCTCAGAGTTATAGTCTTTAACACATCAGTTTAGAAAAAGTATACTACAAAAGATGCTAGTAATACAGCTACTTTTAGAGATTAATTTTTTATTTAAATTTAAAAATATGGATAAAAATTTAATAGCTAATAATAATTTCAATGTTTGCTTTCTTTTCAAACTGTATAAGGCTTAGAGTCCGTTGGCTTGGAATATATATTTTTATTTCCTATGAGCTGCATAATCAGTTTTCCCGATGAGCAGTTCTCCAGAAGTGGTATCCACCCTTTCAGGACCGCCATAATGGGCAGTGTTTTCACTACAGCGCGAGAATCTCGCATATTTTCTTCTTTTCTCGCATTAAAAAATTATTACCACGAGAAATTCGCACATTCTATAAATCAATTTCAAAATTCACGAATTTCTTGCATTTTGGAAAAAGCTTCGAATTACGCCATTTAGAAAAAAATTCGTTTCACTTTTCTTCCTAGATCTTTCATTATTTTCATCATCTGCCCCATTATCTAGCTTCCCTATTTACCAGNTTGGAGCTATTGTCCATTGGCCACAGAAAGTGCCAGAACTGCTAATTCTCTTTTCGTTACCCAGTGGGCACCTGTGGCGAAGCCACGGCGGTGGAACAGCGTCGCCCACGTCACACTACCACAACCCGTTTATAGGGCGGGTCACATTCACACACAAAAGAGAAAGGACATAGAACACAGGAGGGAAAGAAACACCCATGCCTTGCCCGGTCTGCATACATGCCTTTATTAAGCCTGAAATTCCCTAAAAATTTTAATTAATAGTGATGTTAAAATCGGAATATAGTTCCCAACTTTTATTATTAGTTACCTGAAGTATGCTTAAGATAAAGCGATTACTTTATTTTAACTGTCATGCAAAAATATTGAAAATTGCAATCTAGTTTTAATATATGAAAATCTGAATACTCTGGGCGATTAAGATTGAAATGGAAAACTAAAAATTACAATACAGAAAGATTGGCATCATTTCAAACCTATCACCGAGTATCATACATAATCTAGTGAAAAAAATCTTTTTATATGCATCCAAAATCTTGCAAACCTTTAATGTGTAACAAACATAAGATACTCACCCTACTTCGAAGAGGTGGGCGACTAGATGTGCCCCTAGCCCATTCCACTACAATTGTTTGTCCTCGAAGATCACGTCCATTTTCATACTTTATAGCATCCTATATAAATTTTTAAAAATTAAATTAAAACTTAACTATATCACATAACTGAAAAAAATTAATAGAGTAACTAAATAAAAAAAGAGGATGGTTTCCCCATGCAAAAAAATTAATCAGTTTAAATTCTGATTTTTTTTCTTCTAAAATATTATTTTAAATAGAAGTGTGTACCCCAACATACAACAAAAAACAGATTTATAAAAACTTGAGATACCTAAATTTGACTCATAATGAATTTAATGGTACTTTTGTACTTTATGCTGCAGTAGAGCTGCACAATGGGCACTATATTTAAAAAAATAATTTCCCCTCCTTCAAACAGATAATTGCTTTACTGCAGATACTAAACACAATATAGTAGAACGACATCTGCTTGGTCGCATATGCAAAAGAGCATGGCATAACTTTGATTATATTATTTGCTAGGAACTAAGATCAAACAAAGAATAGATTCCTTAATAGAAAAGACAATATAAAGCTGTCAGATAGACTAAAAATTATCTATTTTCCTCAACCTTCTAATTGCAGTTATTTTTTAGTATAAAATTTGAATTTCAGAAAAATATTCTATGTTAAGAAATTGCTGCATATACATATTTTTAAAATAAAACTTTACAAAGAAAAATTAGAGGAGACCCCGATTAAATAAGTTGCTAAGGAGATTTAACAAAACGTTTCATCGAATAATGTATTTAGATTTGCCAAAAAAAATTTTATTGTAAAAATTTTTACTTAAGAAAAATTACATTTATGATTTAATTTTTATCAGAATGTTTAAAAAATAATATACTATCATTAAACAAAACTGCCAAGCCTGTTCCGAAAGAACATTAAAAAAATGTGTTTTAAATATATATCTTACACTTGGCAATGAAAAACTAGATAAGCTAATCTAAGGATTAATAAAAAGAAAGATACCATTATACTACATACATTTGCTACTTAATTGAAGGATATAATTGAATATATAGCCTTATATATTTTTAATGGACATCAAAAATAAAAATTATAGAATACTCATTTTTTGAAATTGCACTTTCTTAATCCTTAAAGGAAAAAAAAAACCTCTATAAAATTATTAATGTTTAGATTTCTACCCCTCCACCCAAACAAAAAGAAAGAAAAAGAATTGTAGGTAGATTTAATCCCCAAGCACTTCAATTATGAAATTTATCCTGAAGAATTTTATATTACCTGTTGTCCACGACATTACAGAATTATGTCATGGTCAAAAGTAAGAGCCCCACTATTCATGACTTAAAATAGTAACTGTGCACACAAAAGACTTGAAAGAGTGACAAACAAGAGAGCTCTGAACCGGGACAAACATTCTTAAGACTTTTCTCATTCTATTCACTTTCTAGGTTCATTCTGACAACCAAATTCATTTGCATTCTGAGTGATTAGACTTCAGTTCATAGCAATAGTGAGAGCCACCAGTGTTGTTCTTCCACTCATTCATTCCTCTAGTTTGAGCCATGTCAAAAAAATTAATATGATTATAAAGAAATATGTTACTTGACATACATTTAAACGTTTCATTTTTTTTGGTGTGTGGCTGGTTTTAGATATTTAAAAGAAGCCATAAAAGCTACTCTGTTCAAAAAAATATATGATCAAAATCCTTTATTTAAAAAAAAAGTTAAACACCCTTAAAATAAACTATTTCAAAATAAGGAAAGGATAAAAAAAATTTACAAGAGGGAAAAACAAACAGTAGAATTCATAACAACGGTGAACGTTATAGTTTAATATATTATTGAACGTCTACATATCTTACCTAACATTTTCTGTCAGAATAAATAATTACTAAAAAGCAAATGCATTAAAATAAAATATAATTTAAACAGTCAGGAAAAAGAAATTAAAATCCTAAAAAAAAAACATAGATAGCCAACAAATTAATGATAATATACCTATTTTAGACAAGAGAAAAAGTAAGGCGGAAAACAGCATCCCACAAAATCACGACTGTATCTACCCATAATACCAATCAATGAGTTTAGCTTACAATTTGGTACTTTAATCTAAAACTAAGTTTATAAGTTTTCTAAAACTTCTTTGACAAACTCAACTCATAACATAACTAAGCAATGCATTGAATGAAAAAATTTTCTTTCATAATTTGTAAGCATTATATGTAAGAAATTAAGTGCTTATGCACACCATACTTTTTGTAAAATAACTTACTTATTATAAGTCAAATAGTAGATGGCAACGAGTAGAGTTTTTGCGGCTGCCATGGTGATAGTTTTACAAAGTAAATAATTTTTGAGTGAGTAGGATCTTTCTTTTGCTGTGATTTTGAAGTTTAAAATAAATCTTTCCTTTATTAACAGCAGAGTATTCTTAATTATTAAATTCGTGGGCAAAGAATGCTGCAATGTAATTAAATGTTTTTATAATTTTATTTTAAGTGAATTTATAGGTATATATCAGGTATTAGGTATATATCAGGCTTTTGCAAATTAAATAAATCCACTTTCACAATTATAAAATTTGAGAATTCCTTAGTTCTCTAAGTATTTCTTATTATAAGTGCAACATGAGTTACGATTTAGTCATTTATCAAAAGACAGCAATTTAAGACAATTATGAACAGGCAAGTTTTTACCAAGCAGACTTTTTTTGGATAATACTTTTAATTAAGGATATAACGAATGTTTGGCCACTATTCGGCCTTTTTGCTGATTATTCAGTTGGCCAAATGTTTAGCAAAGTATTTTTTCCATTTTTTTCTTGTTTGAATTTAATAAAGAGAAATATAAAAGTGTATTATCTACTATACATTATTAGAAATAGTTTTAGCACACATTTATTACATTTTAAAACTTGCAACGTATCTAAAATTAGATTATTCTATGCTGAACAGCAAGCTTAGATTTCTTTATTATGAAATGTAAGCTCTTACTTTCGTGAAAATAAGATTGGAAAATTGAGATGTTCAGCTTAAAAATTTTGGCAATAAGATACTTTTGTTTTACTGTTTCGTTTTAATCTTTTTCTTATGGATGTTTTTATGATAGTACAGCATTTTTGATACATTATATCTCATACTATTTAATGGATACTTTTTTTCCTGGAAAATATTTTCAGCATTGAAATTTTGTTTTAAGAATCAAGAGTTTTTTTTTTTTTTTAAATTTCACAATTTCAGATTCTTTTCTTAAAATAGCTGTTAGTTTTTACTTATCTTAAATATTTCTAATGGATAACTATTATAGTTTTCCCCCCTTTATCCCATACCAATAATATAGCTAAGTTTTTATGATTTTTCAATAACGAATAAGACTTAACCTATTTATAAATAAAAAACAATATTCATTAATGTACAGTACAGAACCCGTTATCCGGAAATCAGAAAACCGGAAAACCAAAAAACCGGAACGAAATTCAATAAATTTTCCGGCCATTTAAAAAAAATTTTTTTTTTTCCTCTTAAGATTTTAGGATTTTTCTTTCTTTTTTGAAAAATTTTCACCTTACTATCATTTTGGAAATAATCATTAGTGTATTACTTCATCGTTTTTTCTTCTTTTTAAGATTATTTCCAAAAAAAATTTCTTTTTTTAGTTGGGTTTAACAATAAAAAAAGGGCTTTGTGTAGCGAGTCAGAAAACCGGAAAAATCAGTTATCCGGAATAGCGATGGTCCCGATCGTTCCGGATAATCGGTTCCCTACTGTATTTTTTTCTTAAAAAAGGGGGAAAAAGGAACAATTTTGCAATTATAACCTAATATTCGGTTTTCAGCCAATTTTTTCTTACACGAGGCCGAATCACTATTCGTTATGTCACTACTTTTAATTATCCTATTTACAAAATCAGCTAGGTGCAACCAGGTGAAGAAATAAAATTTAAAAACAGTTAAATCAATTCATTCAGATCATACTCTAAGTAATAGTTTTAAGTTTACTAGGTAACTATAGAAATTGAAATTAGCACCCTCAACGAAAAATCAAACAGAAACACAACTTGATATAAAAAAGGGAAACGATTCAATAATCGGGTATAAGACAGAAAATAAAGAACAATTGTGCGTCAGAATTTGTAATATAACCAGAGCTCATTCTAGGCAGGGTAAACAGGGTGCAGCACCCTGCTGCCTTTTTAGTCAAAAGAATCCACCCTGTTGCCCCAGATGTAAATTAGTGCCCTTTCTTTCCTCAACCCTTCTTTATTTTTCTCTCAACTGTACAATGGATTTCTTAAATTTTCAACTCTTTTTATCTAGTTTGTCATTGCTGTCAATACATAGATTTATATGGAAAAGGGAAAATAGCCATCACACACCCTTGTTGCAGTTGTCTTTGAAAGTTTGCAGTTGCTTCCACTATCATTAAATCATAATTATTATTAATCATTTTAATTATTAAATCATAACTACAGACACTTAAAAACATACATTTATTATTTTATTAATATATGCATGCATTTTAAATAAATTACTAAGCTAATTAGCTCAATAACTCTATATACATGTTAATTTATCAATAAAAATTAGTAAATATGGTTGCTTTGCTACTGTTAGTAAAGTAAAAAAAAAAAAAATTCCTTTCACTAATTGTCAATATCTTTTCATAGAACGTGTAAAGCCCATAGAAAGAAATTATTGCCCTTTTTGAATAACAATGCCCTTTTTTTAAACTTTTGCACGCTGCCCTTTTTTCTGCCTAGAATGAGCTCTGATATAACCACTATAGTATAGTTAGTGGTTCAGTAAAAATATAGATTTTTCACATTAGGATTAAAAAAAAAAAAAAAACTTATAAAATATAAAATTTAAGGTTTAGATATAATTCATTTAAATTATTGCTTTTAGATCAAATTCTGGGAAAAACACACAATTAAGAATTAACCTCGCAACCAATCTATATTAAAGCTAAGGCATTATTAGTCAATATTTTATTATAGTCAATAATCGTGGAATCTTTATTATTAAATATTATCAATTCATACAGAAACTTTTGGCATTTTTTTAAGGAGACTGACAATTTAATTAAAAGTTTTATGACATTTTACATTTAAACGTTATTGTAAATTAAAAATGTTTCAAATATCAATGTAGGAATATAACTCTGTTGAATAACTACTTTGAATAACAAGACATGTTAAACACAGATTCACTAGGTTGTGCCAAGAAGCTGAATGGTCATTTGTTAATAAAGTCATCACTGTGTATGGATCAATATAAAAAGGAAAGCTCTTTCTAAGAGGTGGGATTTTTCTTTTCTTTGAGGTACAAGAAAAATAGTTTAAGAGTATAAAAACCTGAGAAGATAAGAGGGAACATTAGCACTGATCTCTATATTGACGGATTGTGTGTAGAACACAATCTGAACGAGTGAAGCTTAATCAATACTCTTTAAGACTTCTGCAATCTTTTCTTCTATTGCTATAGAGCCAAGTGCATTCGAGGGGTTGACTTAGATTATTAATAGACTTACAGCAGAAGAAAAAACTATCTTCGGGCTACAGTATCTTATTGGGTTTTAATCGGCTTTAAATTGTTTCAGAAGACAAATAAGTCTAGCTATTTATCTTTTAATGCTTATTAAATACTGTAATGTGCTGAATTATTTTGAGAGCATCACAGGGTAAATGGAAAGATTAATTGAAATCTAAGATAATTCGTTTGAAAAACAATTACAGTATTTGAGCAAAAAGCAGAGAAAGGTCAAGCAGAAAAAAATAATAAATAAATAAATCATTTTGAAATAGAATTTCGCAAGCAATAAAGTATTAAAATATGGCACAATCAAACTTAGCTCTCACTGTTAAAAAAAAGCTGGTTTAAACTGTTGAAAACTGCTTAAGTCTAAGGTAAGAGCCGAGGATGAGAAAATCATGTCAAATAACGAACAATATGACCTATTAGAAATTGTTTATCAAATCAAATCCAATAAAAAGCATTCAACTTTAATATAGTAAATATTATCTATAAAAAAATTTAAAAAAAAGATTACCTCTGCATCTCTCTTATCCTCGTAGTCCACAAAAGCATACGCCATCCCAGTTCCTATAAAAAATTTTACTAAATAAGCAGCAGGAATTCTTCATAGTAACTAAATTAGTGACAAAATAAATATTGAGCCAGCAAGTAAAGTTTTTGTTTCATTCATTATTGAGTTTCTGACTGTACTATACTAGATATTATTCCCTGACTAGTCGACATGAGCTAAAGGCAGATACATAAAGTTCAGCGAGCTTACAACGTTCAAGTAACAAAGTGGGAAATTATATTTAGTCTGGTAGTAAAAAGTAACATTATGAAACGATGCTGTGCAGGGATGAGAGTAGTCAGAGAGTAAAAAAGAGCAAATCCAAGAATATATATATATATTTATACGAAAATACAAATTATGATGCATAATTTTTAGATCGCCTAAAAACGAATCAATAAATAAGGTTTTAAAAACGCATCAATACAAATTGCGCTATTGAATTTTTATATCTCACAAATAAGAATCGCATAGTACGATATTTAAATCACGTGAATAACAGTCGCAACTAGCAAATTTTAAATCAGGTAAATACGAACATCGATGTTTGATAATAAAAACACATAGTAAATACAAATCGCAATATTGGATTTTCAAATCTCATAAATAAGAATCGCCATGAATGATAGTTAAATCACATGAATAAGAACCACAATGTGCATCTTTCAGATCAGGTAAATACAAAATAGATGTTTGGTATTAAAATCGCGTGAATAAGAATCACGATACTAACAGATTCTGGACTTGGGACTTTTTGAAGGCTTGTCAGGGTTGCCACAGAAAAAATTGAACAAAATAGTTGCTTATAGTAGCCTAAAATATGAAAATAGTAGCCAAAAACTAGGAAAATAGTTGCCTAGCGAAGAACAAAAATTCATCAAAAATATGACTAAAATTTTGTTAATGACTTAATTGTCATATACCATGATCCATTCAGTCAAGTTGGTGGCAAATATGATGATTTTTATATAAGCGCAAATGTTTATATATATGAAAAGTGATTACTCAAATTCGAAATTCACGCATCGTAATATCGCATTAAATTTATTAATTTTTTAAAAATCATGCGGAATTTCGTAGCAATAATCATTGAAAAGGCGATCGAGAAATGAAATAGACTTACAATGGAGTGTGTGCAGATTGAACCAATTAAAAAGTAAAGACTCAAATTTGCAATTCAAAATTTTCAAAATTTTTTAAGGAAAAAAAAAGTTTAGTGTGTTCAGAAACTATCTTGTGGGGTTCAGATTTTCCACTCAAATTATGCTTTTAAAAAAAAACATTGCTAGGAGTTTAGAAAAGTCTCCCAATAGTCTCCTTTTCCTGAAAATAGTTGCTTTTCCAGCCTTTTCAGGCAAAAAAAGTTGCCATAGTCGCCTTATGCCAAAAATAGTTGCAAATAGTTGCATTTTAGTCGCCTGTGGCAACTCTGCTTGTTTGTATTGTTTTAGCTTAGCCATAATAAATAAAAATTTACAAGATTAAGTGAATGAGCAAATAAATATTTTCACCGCAAATCCACAAATATATATATATTTTATAAGGTTTGCTTTCGAGCCAGCAAACAGGAAGCAGCGACATCTGAATTACGATAACACAAGCTATCTGACGGGTGGGCAAAAATACAGAAAATCTTATTTTCTGTGCTTATAAGCGGAGAAAATACCTAAAATAAGTAAAAATACGGAAGGGTTGGCAGCCACGTAGATTGAATATTCTGTTTATATTTGAAAATCGGAAATAAATATAATTATTTTATTTCAACGACTAAATTTCCAGAAAAACCGGAATATTTATTTAAAAAACCAAAACTTTTAGAGAATCTGAGTTTTTGATAAAAAGGCTGAAGTTTGACGGACAAAAGCGAAAAATCTCATCCCTGGCTGTAGGTGATCCTGAACTCCACCGGCAACCTTCCCACTTCTCAATGATTAGACCATACGTAAACTCATCCAGGTGTCTGGCTCTGCATTGTTTGTTGGCCATTTGATACCTTAACAAATTCACTTCATTTAAAAATGATGTATACAGCACAAAACCATTTACATAAATACTGAGCATACAGGCCCAGGTCGTTTTATTTCCTTAGGGCACGCTCCCTGTACACCATGGTGCATATATGAAAATTTTCTACTTTACCATATTATGATTGTTTTTTTCAATGATTTTTCCCTCCACTTTAACTGCCTGTTTTGTTGCTATGCTCGTTTTTCTATTTTGCCCTTAATTTTTGCACACCAGTGTATAAACACAGATAATTTTGCCGTAATGTAATTATTTAAATAATTCTTTTCTAAATAGAATATGAATAAAAAGGCAGAGTTTTAAAGGGGGTGGCTTATTTGTACAAAAAGTGATTAGAAGGTGCATTAATAGGGATCAAGGGATAGGCAGGAAGAGCCAACCTTCTAAAAACACTTTGGGAAAGAACACTGCTATAGTATATCTATATTTAAAAATTTATATATTTTTTTAATTTATGAAATACAAGCAAAGAACAATTAGATTGACTTTTTTTACCATTGAATATTATATGTACTAATGTCATTTTTCTAATATTGATTAATAAAAGAATACTTACTGATACAGTCAAACCTGATTTCGAATCTCAGGAAAGTTAGAAAGACTAGACCCTCAGAGATAACATTTTCCTTGGATTCAAGAATAGATTGTAAGAGTTCCGCAGCTTTTTCTACCCCTTTTGGATTTACTTTTGGTTCATCAATATGATCTATCTTCATCTTCCTCTGATATTCCTTTTACATTATGTATGATTTCCACATCTGTCAATGTTCATATGTTGCCAGAAAGTTGTCCATTTGTAAAAATCTTCAAAATTATTGTCAACATTAAATCCAGATTTTATTGCATTCTAATCTTGCAAATCTGGCACTGCACTTCCAGCGTCAACAGTTTCTTCTACTGAAGCCTTCAACCTCTCGTTTATCATCTTCACCTCTATTCTTAAAACCAGCCTTCTTAAAATTCCTTTGGGTAGGTAGTGTTTAGAAGCACATTTCTCCAGGCAAAACAGTCATTCTGATTTCATTTAGAAAGAGAACTTTTTTTATCAATGGCATCTATAAATTTATGTACCAACTGATTTCTATAGTTCACTCAGTAACTCTTTATTATTCTTTGATTTATTGGTAGCAATTTTGAGGTGAAATTGATTTTTTATTCCTAGCTTTCTTATCTATGTTGAAAAGCTAACCCCTGGTGGTTCTACTCATCAACCCTCACTTACTACCAGAATCAGTGTATTCCTTTCTAGATAAGGAAGTGCAGGGATGGTGATTGAAATTCCAAGAAACACCCCCAACCTGTTCATCCCTACTTCCTGTGGGTTCAGGATATTCATCTCTGTCTGCAAGTTCTACTTATAAAGAAAGTTTTGGCATTTGAGCTCTATTATTAGAAATTCAAGAAACGGTGATTTTGAAGGGAAAAAAATAGACATAAACATAAGCATGGGATATACATTGATTTCATATAGAAATTGTACGAAATTATGAGATACAGAGGTTTTCAAGAGATAGATAGGTTCAACTGTATTGTAAAAAATACTTGTCCAATACAAAGCAAAAATAAAATGGTATTTGGAAAGTGGCTTTGAAATTCATAAATTTTTGCCAATAAAAGTTATTTACTGTTCTAGACCATTTATTAATAAAAAATTTGAGAAACAAGAAATATTCCTCTAATTTTTCATAGACTAATAAAATGATACTGTAGAATTGGTACTAAAAAATTGCTAGGCAACTAAATAATTCATTCTGAATACTACAATTTTATCAAAATAAAAAATAATTTCTCTACTATGCTGTACTTTTTATGGAACTGCTGAACATACTAAACCAGAAGATAGTCTTAATTTATAGAGAAAAAATGAATACGACTAACTAATTTATTAATGTATATGACGTTAGCTGATTAATAATCACCAGCTGACTAATAAAGAAGGTTAGCACATACGTTGAACTAAATACATAATTAGAAAGATATAAATAATAAAAAGGAAAGTGGAATATCAGTTGACGGGGAAGCACTTCATTTCCTTCCTTCCAACGATTGCGTTATAACAATTAGGCCTAAGGACGAAAAAGAGTGTGTTAGATATTTATAAAATATATCTTACCCTTACCATATTTTAAGTTGAATCGCACCAAGCTTCCATATTTTTCAAAGAGGGCTTCAATTTCTCTTTCCCTAGAATCTAAAGGTAAACGGCCAACAAATAGTTGCGATCGTCTGCTGGACATGATAGATGAACAAAATGCGGTTTACTATACCAATACGTCCAAACTACAAAAAATTCTTGATAAGAATTTATTCCATCTTCAAAAGCCTGTTTGGGTAAAAATAAAAATTGGCACTAACGCCAACCAAAATTAATATTAAAAGATTAATTAATATTTACTCAGGGAAATAGCGTCCTTTTTCGAAGAGCCGAATAAAAAGAAATTTAGAAATTAGTACCCTGATGCCATTCTTTAAAAAAATTCACGATAGATAATTATAACATGATCAACATTCATGACGTCACATTGGGTTGCAGCTGTTTGCACTTAATGCTATTCACGCATCTGCTGTTACTCATTCTCCAGAAAATTCTCTAAACTCGCAACCGAAGAGAGCGGGGAAGGGAGGATGGTTTAAACCATGGATGGTCATGAGAAAGTAACCAATTTTGTTTATCCCATTATCATTCCCATGACCTCTTTTTCAGAGTTCACAGAAGGATGCGTTGTTTCAGAAAGGGGAGGGGTAGTCTAAAATAAAATATCTAATTAGTCCAATCTGCAATCTTTCTTCAAGAATTTAATTTGTAATATTTATATTAAATTTGTTTTATGTTATAATTGGATCGATTCACTTATAACTATATTTACCAATAGATTGCAGAAAAAAGAGAGGAAAATATTCTTAGAATATAAAATGACAACAGACAAAATCAAATACATATTTGTTTTAAAAAATTTCTAAAAATCATACTTTGAATGTTTTTCAATACGTATAATTGATTCATTCAGAAATTCCATCGCAAGATTATTGAACTTTGAAATTATAAACATTTTATCGAGTGCTTTTAGTTATTAAGGGGTATTTAATTTGACAATTTTTTTTAACGTATAACTATTTTGTTATTTATTAACATTTCATTATATTTATGATTATTTAATTATTTTCTATTATTTATAATTATTTTATTTTACATCATTAAAATCTTTTAGTTTTAACGGTACAATAACTATCAAAATAATGTGTAATAAATAAGCTTTAATGAAAAGGTAGAATGCATGACATTAACTTTAAAATTGCTAATTTAGATTTTTTTGTTAAGTAGTTGTTAATTTACGTAGTAGAATTTTTTTAAATGGATGGTGTTTTCAATAGAAATATAAACAACAACAATCTCGAGCTCGGCACCTACTCTAGTTCCGGTTAAAAAGTTTGCAGCTGCTTACTACATGTCATTCTGATAGGCAATGTTTTCAAACGAATAATTTTGTTTTCAATAAAAGAAATAAATTAGATAATTTCTGAGCTCAAATCTGCCATATTTCATAAGATATTAATGCTAATATGTAATTCTGGTGAGTTTGAAGTGAAAATTTGTTTTAGTTTTTTAGAGATATATTGTTAAAAAAGGTGACATGGTTGCTAGATTTTGAATAACTCGCTTTTTTGGCTGTCTTGATATGGCCTCTTTCCAAAAGTTTATTTCTGTTTGTTCTTGTTGCAAGCTGTGCACCATCTTACGTTAGTGTTAACACTTTTAGCATTGTAAACACCAGTATTGTTAGCATTGTAAACACAAGTAAGTAATCAAATACATTGTTTGCAAGAATCTCAAAACACAATGATGCCAAATGGCTTTAAAATACAACGAAAACAGTAACCCAGAAATTTAGGCGGTACCGAGCTTGCAGCGTTCCCTAGTGTAGAAAACACCATCCCCATTCAAATAATATCTTATATTATACTGGTTAATTGATGTAATTAATTTTAATTCAGAAAGTATTTTACAAATTTATGTTGCACGCGAAAGACAATGTTTTTTTGAGCGACTTTTTTATAATTTATTTACATGCATATTGTTAGATGATAAGACAAAANAAAAAAAAAAAAAAAAAAAAAAAAAAAAAAAAAAAAAAAAAAAAAAAAAAAAAAAAAATCCAGATCGAAATATGAAAACATTTGAAATTATTTTGTAATTGAAAATTTGCTAAATTGAAAGTATTAAAATTACTTGTTGCTGTTGTTAATTTACGTCGCACTAGAGCTGCACAATGGGCTATTGGCGACGGTCTGGGAAACATCCCGGAGGATGATCCGAAGACAAGCCATCACAATTTTGATCCTCTGCGGAGGGGATGGCAACCCCGCTTCGGTAGCCCGACGACCTGCATTACTTGTATCGAGTTAAACTTAAAACATGAGTTTGTAATATAAAAAAAAATCACGAATAACCATTATGACTAGAGCAACAACTTTGAAATTGTGTAACTAAATATTTTAACATGAAATTCTTAAATGACAAATTAAGTGTGTCTTCTGAGTTAGGTTCAACGTAATATGGTAATAAATGACAAAAATTTTATTGCAGAGTATTAATTACTAAATCTAATTCAAAAAGCACAACGAAAAAATATTATTTTTTAAAAAGAGATAAGTTATAAAATTTTAAAAAAAAATTTTTATTGCTAGTGTTTTCAAATTGTAATTTATTATCAAAAAATATTGTAAAAGAGAAGAAAATGTTATTATTTTTTTTTGAAAAACTGACGATTAATTTTGTTTAATTTATAAAATGTATAAGTTTGCAATTGCAAAAAAAAAAAAAAAAAAAAAAAAAAAAAAAAAAAAGTCATAACAAACATGAAGGAGAAAAATGGAAAAAGTAGTTTTTTTCAATTGTAATGGAAATTATAATTTTTTTTTGTTGAGATTATTTAAACTAATTTCATGGTCAAGAAAGGATACTTTTTGTTGGCCAAAAACGCATTTGGAAGGATTGAGACTAACGACGTAACTCTGAAACCGTTCAAAAATAGTTCTTAAATGGGATAAATGTTCTTGTTCTGAAGAGGAAGCGATTAAAACGTCATCAAATAAGGTACACAAAAGTCCAGGCCGATTAACACCTGATTCATGAAGCGTTGGAATGTTTGAGCGGCATTGCATAAGCCGAAAGTCATGACTGGAAACTCAAATAGTCCGAAAGGCGTTATAACTGCAGTTTTTGGAACATCAGCTGGATTAACGGGTACTTGGTTGTACGCCCGCTCTAGATCAACAGTTGTAAAAATAGTTTTTCCCTCTAAGACTTGCATACAGTCTTGAATGTGCGGAACTGGGTAACGATCAGGAATTGTAGCTGCATTTAACCGGCGATAATCTCCGCACGGGCGCCAGTTACCATTTCGTTTCCGAACTAGATGGAGCGGACTGACCCATGAACTTTTCGATGGGCGGCAAATTCCCTGTTCCATCATATATTGAAATTCATCTTTGGCGGCTTTAAGCTTGTCTGGAGATAAACGTCTTGGTTTAGAACCAATTGGGGGTCCGGTAGTTTCAATATAATGTAGTACATCGTGCTGGGGTTGTGAATTACCCATAACTGGGCGTGTGATTGTAGGAAATTCTCTGAGAAGTTGATGAAATGGAGAAGTATCGGAAATCAGTTTAATGTTTAAATCTTGACTATTGCGAATTTCTCCCGGGTAAGATAAGTTCGTTGAAGAATCTACTAAACGGCGATTTTTAAGATCAACAAGCAAAGAAAATTTTTGCAAGAAGTCAGCGCCAATAATAAGACTTGAAACGGAGGCGATAATGAATGGCCACTGGAATTTGCGGCGCAATCCTAAGTCAACAGATATCAGTCGTTCACCGAAAGTTTGAATAGGAGTTCCATTTGCTGCGCAAAGTTGTAATTTGGTTTGGCGCTTTTGCTCATGAAAATGTGGTGGAACGACAGAAACATCAGCCCCGGTGTCTACAAGAAATTTTTAACCTGAATTCTTATCGATGACAAAAAGGCGTGCAATATTTCGGCTGCTGTCATTCACGACTTTTAGCGACGACCCATTTTGTTTCCCTGGTTGTTATATATACACGGTTAGCGGCATTTGTTTGCCTGTTCTCCAAAATTGTGATGGTAAAAACAAATACCCGGAGGAGGGCTTTCATAACGTTTCCTGGATGAGCTACGGCGAGCATATCGACCACGTGATGGAGAGCGATGGCGCCGAAAAGTTTCAGCTTGAATGGCTACTAATTGAGAGACCTGTTTGGACAATTCATTAATTTGAGCCTGTAACGCCACAATACCTTGATCAGAAGTCTGAACTGCATGTATTTGCGTTGGCATGACCAGCTCGTGTATTTTATCAGCGATTTCGGACAGTTTCGTAAGCGGCTCACTGCTGGCCGCTAAAATGGCTTGCATGTTTGATGGGAGTCTATTCATCCATAATGTTTTAATAATATTGTCCGTTAGGTTACCGGCGGATAAGTATGACATTTTAGACAACAATTGAGAAGGCCTCATATCACCCAGCTGTAAATCTTGTAATAGTTGCTTGATATTAACTGTTTCGGATTCTGCATAAACAGAAATTAATTTTTCTTTTAAAAATTTGTATTTTTCCATCGCCGGTGGACTACTAATTTCACGAACTGATTGAAGTACTTCTGATTCTAAAGCGGCGATCACTGTATAAAATTGAGTTTCGTCAGCAGTAATGTGACTCAATTTAAACTGCGCATCCAGTTGGATGAACCGACGACAAAATGGCGGAGGCTTAACTGCAACTCGCGCCAATTGTGAAGAAGCATTGTTGTCAACTATTTTAGATCAGTCAAATATACTCAATAACACAGAAAAATAATCAATATACGTATATAGCGACACAGCTTCTTGGTACTTTAAATCAGAGAAATTGGCGACTCAAATTCAACACACCATACATAAATCCGATAAAATTCTGACAGAAATATGTTGACAGAACGTGGCAAAACACTTTAAATCAAAGGTAAAATGTCTTACTTGAATTTCATCACACTTGACAACTTATTGTTGCTCAGGCTTTTGCATATAAACTTCATATTCGTACAACATTGCAGGTTGTGATTCGTCATAAATCCGAGGTCACCAGTTTGTGGAGGAATACTTTTTGTGAGAAAATAAGTAGACTCGCTTCTCATTATAAAATATAATATATTAACAGCTTTGAATTATAACAATAACGTACATATTAAAAACAGGAGAATCATCAAGCAACAGAAAGAAAAACAATAGTTTTCTTTTTATGTTCCTCGTTGCTACGGGATACGAGACTGGCAGCGTTGAGTTGTAGTAGGCAGGTCACCACAACAATGATAGCACTAATATTGATAACTTATAACATAACAATAACTTTATTCACAATACGTATATAGAACACATCATCAAAAGAACATACTGGAAATCGAAACTGAAACATACAATGTAAACACAGTTGCAGTTACATCACAAGCGCGATAGTAGCGCCAGTGGAATTACATGGAAGATCCCAACAGTCTCCCCCACTTAATTAGAATTGAAATAACAGTTAATTGAAAACATTAGCTACTTAAAAATTGAATTTGTTAAATATATAATTGAAAAATATACTTAATTGAAAATACTTAAAACAGATTTGAAATATGCTTATGACATTACGAAGTCCCTAAAGCGTGTAGGTAATTGTCCCTTTCTTTTTGGTTTTGTCACAACGTCCTGTTTGGAATTTGTTGGAAGTTCTGGAATACTAGGCTGAGTAGGTGAGGAGATCTTAGATGGTCTAGGTATGTCAAAAGACTGGGTTGGCCCAAAAGTCACACACTTTTTTTTCTCTGGAATTAATGTTGATCTTAATTGGTTTATGTGTCTCTTTAATTGCCGACCTGAGTCTAGTAAAATCAAATAATGACGTGTACCATACTTTTTCACGACTTTGCCAAACTGCCATACGTTATGGTTATTTATGAACAACCTCACCTGGACTCTCTCCCCCACTGAAAAAGATCTTACAGGAGTACTGGAAACTGTTGATGGTGTTGGATGATAAGGAAAGATTGAGTTTAAACGTATGCGGATTTTTCTATGTAAGTATAATTGAGCAGGTGACTGTCCACAAGCTAGAGGTGTTGCTCTATAACGGAATAATATGTTTTGAACTTTACTTGGGATTGAGGATTTTTCAAGAAAAGAAACTTTTAACTTTTGCTTTAAGGTTTGGACGTTTCGCTCTGCAAGGCCGTTGGTGGCAGGATGTCCTGGAGCGATGAATTTTTTAAATATTCCTCGATTAGAATGGAATTCCATAAGAATGGAATTCTTCACTTTGAAATATTGAAGCATTATCAGATACAATAACCTGTGGATAGCCATGAAAAGAAAAAAAAAATTCTATCAAAAGGATAGTTTTTGAACTAGTTGGGGCATCTTTAATGACTTCGACTTCCGCCCATTTGGACTTAGCATCAACACACACCAAAAAATAGTAATTTGCAAATGGACCTGCATAATCTATATGAATTCTGTCCCAGTTATCTGCTGGAGATTCCCACGGATGGACAGATACCTTTGGAGGATTAGACTTTGTCAATGCGCAGCCGTCACATCCTTTGACTAAATTCTCAATGTCACGATCAACGGCAGGCCAATAAACATACTGTCTTGCAAGTTGCTTCATTTTAGTTATTCCTAGATGAGTTTCGTGAAGTTCCTTTAGTATGTTTGAACGTAAGCTTTTTGGAATAACTACTCTTTCTCTTCGAAAAAGTATGCCATCAAATGATGTAAATTCTGAATCTTCAGAGTTGTTGTTCAGCCTTTCAATTATTTCGCTGAGTTCTGGATCTTTCTTTGTTTCAGACTGGATTGTTAAAGATGTTATTTTTTCACTTGAAATCTGGAAAATGTTTTCGGCACATCTTTGATTTGCTTCTTCCTCTATAAATTTATCGACTGAGTTTTCGGGTTTTTGAATTGGAGCTCTAGACAGGCAATCGACATTTTCATTTTTAGTTCCCTTTTTGAATTGCACTGAGTAATCAAAACTTGATAAGTAGGAAGCATAGCGAAGTAATCGTGAAGTCATACGTGGTAGTGCCTTATGAGAATGAAAAATTCTTGTTAGTTGCTCATTGTCAGTAATAAGTTTGAAATGTTTACCAAATAAGTAATTGAAGAATTGTGTAACACCAAAAATAACAGCTAAAGCCTCTCGATCTAATTGGCTATAGTTTTGTTCGGAGTTGGTAAGTGAACGAGATGCGTAAGCAATAGGTCTTTCTACACCTTGTTTAGAGTGACTCAATACTGCTGCAATTCCCGTAGGGCTGGCATCTGTGGTCAGGACAATTGGTAAACTAGGATCAAAAGGAACAAGAACTCTATCACTGGTAAGTTCATTTTTCAGTTTCAGGAATGCAGATTCACAACTTGCAGTTCATAACCAAGGCTGGTTTTTTCTTAGCAACCGTCGAAGTGGGTATGATATAATTGAAAAATTTGGCATAAAACGGGACTAGTAAGTTACAAGTCCCAAAAATCGTTTGATTTCTTCAATATTTGATGGTCTTGGCATTTCTTGAGCAGCTTGAATTTTTGTTGGCGATTTACTTATCTTATTATATTCAATAACATGTCCGAGATATTCTATTTTTTCTTGAAAGAAGGAACACTTTTGTTTATTTATGTGCAGATCATAGTCAGAAAGTCTTTGTAAGCAAGCTTCTAAATTTTCAGTACATTCTTGAAGTGTTTCACCATCTATATATATATTTCTCTTACACGGCACCAAAAAAAAGCCTCATTACAACTCCCCGAATGGCAACGTAAGAAAATAGACCAATAATTGCTGCTAAAAATGTCACATGGCAAATGTCACCTGAGGTGGCTCAACATATAGCGCTTTTAAAAACGGAAACAATAACCAGAGTGAGCATTATCATGTTGTTCAATTCAGATTCATGCCCTAAAAACATGATAATATTTAATTTAAACTCAATTAGGAATTAATTAGGCTGGCCTTCTCCTTGACTACAAATAAATCACAAGGTCAGACTTTTGAGAAAATTAGTTTAGTATTGACTAAACAAGTCTTTAGTCATGGACAACTTTATGTTGGCCTGTCAAGAGTTAAGTCATTTGACAGCCTTTCAGTAATTGCTCCAAGATGCCCAATCTATAATTGTGTTTTCAAAGAAATTCTAAATGCTTAGTGTTAATTTCTCAAAGATTTGCAGAAATAAATGTTTTTTGGAAAAAATTAAATTGAAACTTCTATTGGCAGTAGGCAAAGGGAACTGCCAAAATCAAAACTCCCCGATTAGAAATGCAGCATGGCGACCTCCACGTGGTATTTCTCGGGTAATGCTAACAGCCATGCATTTTAATTTATTGTATGTTAAACATCCTTATTTTGTTCTAAAATGTTATGTACTTTATCACAAATGCTAATTAATATGGAAATTGATTTCAATAATGCTGATCACCAAAAAATATTTCATTTGGCGATAAAACAAATTTTTGTGTTCTTGAAAATGAAAGACTTTTTGAGGGT